CTCTATCATTACTGTCTAAACCATTGACATCAAAAGTTATAAATGAAATTTAGGATGTCTGCATTCTTCTTCTTTTATCCACCGCCATCTTTTTTTGGATTCTTAAAGAGGCCCTTACCACAAGGGGAACTGGTGAACAACTGTTGGAGAATTTTACACACCTGTTCCCCATTCACACCTGAGACCTTATAGCTGTAGAGTGTCACATGACACCAGGGCACAGTTTGGTGCTCACTTTTGTTTCCAGTGGTTTGAATATTGATGGCTGTGTGTTATTAATACAGCATGCACAGTATCGGAGGTCAGACAGATGGTTTGACGAACTAGTATCTTAAAAAAAAAACGAGTCAAAACCTTGTTTGGAAGTCTAACCAGTTGGGTTCTTTTTGCAGCAACTCAAGATGACCCGCAGGAAAAGGAGCTAAGGTTACGAGGTCTGGTTGGTTGCTATGCTCTGTTTCAGTATCTAACAGTGAGCATCCAAGCTGCTATTGCAGTCTACAGCCAAGCCAGAGAGAGGATGGAGGAACTGCACCGCTCATTAACGCCTGAAAAGCAGCTAGACGGCAGTGAGACGACTAGCCGTCTTCTAGTCAGTCGGTTAGCTTCAGATTGTGAGGAAATAGCAGTGCAACAGGCGGCGCTGCTAAGATACAACAATAATGTTGGGGTTTGTCCTTTGGCAACACTGAGACAGATGCTTACCTCTGCCCTGTCATCCTGGCCCTGCAACGCCGCCCTGTGGAGTATATACATTCAGGTCTGTTCCTAAAAGAAGAAACACACATCATCATCCTTACTGGCTTAAATTAAAGCAGTGGACAGAAACAATAAGTAAATGTGATTTTTCTTTTTTTTTTTTAGGTGGAGAACCGTTACCATAGTGCTGGCCGGGCCCGGCGTTTTTTCTACACTGTAACCAGAGACAACAGCAGCGTGGTACCCCGTCTGTTTGCTATTGTTGCTGAACAACATAGGAAGCAGCTGGTGGATGCAGCTCAGAGGTAAGACTGAAAGGGATGATGGGGTGTATGTCAACAACATAACACAATCAAATGAAAGTTAACACAGTACCAAGGTTGAAAGACCAAAGCAGTACTGTGAGAAAGAGAACATTTAAGACAGTTTACAGTCTTCCTAGGAGCAGGCATCCCATAAAAACAGAGCCTCTCCTCTGACTCTATTGGCCTCAGTTTAAAAAGTTAATCAAGAGAAGATGAGCATGAAAAGACAGAAATACCAGCCTTTTTTTTTTTTGGCTGCAAAACAATAGGAAATAGTTCAGAAAATGTTTCTACAAAACAAGATTGCTAGGACAATCTCATTATAGACAGATAGTTTGGTCAATGCAAAATAACTTGTTTTGGAGAACATGTAATACAGCTTATATGAATCGATTAGGATGGTTGTGAGAAATGTTAGACACAAGCTTGTTTTGTTGAAAAAATAAATAAAATAAAAAGCAGTATTTGATCTCATATAAAGTCCAACTTTCAGGCATGGTGGTCTTTTTAGGAATAAAACCAAAAACATGGCCTTAGAGAAACAACCACTAATTGGAAAAAGTGTTTGTTCTTTTTTAAGAATAACTGTTTGGATAAAAAATGTTGAACGGTTAAAATTGATAAAAGATTGAATCCAAATATCTTTAAATGTCAATCATAGGTCTTGCTGCTTGGATGAGGCCCTCCCCATCCTACCAGAAAACGGCCTCAGCAACCGAATCCGAGGTCTGTTCGAGGGCGCCGCATCAACAGAGACGGGTGCCCATTGCCCTTTAGTGTGGAGGATTTACATTCATTTCCTGGTGAGATAATAGAAACCTCAAAACATATTAAAGCATATTTAAATATCCAATTATGTTAAAGGAAACTTTTTGTGCTTTGGTTACCCTGTAGGTGTCAGAGGGAAAGGCAGATAAAGCCAGAGGAATCTTTTACAAAGCCTTGCAGAGCATTCCGTGGGTGAAGGTAAAACAGACATGAAAAAATGATCTCAAATTACCTATGTATTAGGGAACCTGTTATCTAATATGTTAACACATTGTTTGTATTAATCAGGGTTTGTATATGGATGCGGTGCAGTTGTTCCCTGAGCACCTGCAGGAGTTTGTGGATCTGATGACTGAGAAGGAGCTTCGACTGAGGCTGCCTTTGGAAGAGCTGGATATACTGCTGGAAGACTGAGAACACCCCAAACCTCTTTAAACAACTTTAAACGTTTACAGATAGACTTTGAAGATTAACAATATACAATTGGTTTTGTTGGTCATTTTTTTTGTGCACTTATTTTGATTAATAATAAATAAATGATAATGTCTTGTTTGTTGAATGTTTTCTTTGGTATCTCTTATTAAAATTTAACTTAAATGAAAATAATAATATACCCTAAAACCCAGGAATAGATGTAGTTAATTTTATTTTATTTTACTTTGTACTTTGCAAACTTTCAATTTTAAGTTGGGAAAATATGTTTTAATTTCCCTCTAGAGTTGTATATAGTTGGAAAGAACTTATTGTTACCTTCACTCTGAGGCTTACCACTTTATTAGGCAACACCTGTAGATTACCTGCGAATCATCCCCTGTTTTTTTTTTTTTTTTTATATACTACGCTGTAGAGACAGTGGCCTCATTGCCGCGCCGTGGTTTGACGCATTGCAGATCTCCCTAAGCCAATCACAGGCCTCTTAACTTTATTAGAGTATGCGGGTTTGTGCTAGCCAATCAGAACACGTCTTTCAAGAGCAATGCCAAAGCCTCCTCAGAGCTGCAAGTTTAAACGCTTAGAACCGTATCCTTCCGCCTGAATAAAACTAGGCATAACATAAAATAGTCCGTCACTCTCGAGTGGCCGTGAAAGAAAGGTGGCCAAACAAGCGCGTGAGATGTATATCAAAGAAATGTGTTATAACCTTTTTTTAAAAAAAGCATCTCTCTAGATCAGTGCTTAAAAAGACTAAGGCCACTAAACTTAAAAGCTGTATAAATCTGAATCCTGGAGATGCAATAGATAGGTTAAAAAAAAAAAGGAAGGCAGAACTAAATATTTTATTTGTGAAACCAGGTAAACTTTTGACATTTTTTTAAAACTTGCAGTTATCCTGAAAATTAAAAATGTAGTTTGTAGAACCCCTTTTGGGTTTAGTCCGAGGTGCTGCAGACACCAGAATAGTCCATGTTTGTCTTCAAGTGTCCCCTGGTTATATACAACCCAAAGTCATTAATTCTCCACCGCCATGCTTAACAGTTTGTAAGATTTTCTTTACTCTGCTTTTTTTTATGAGCATGGTGCTTTGGTCAGATATCAGATATCTAAATGATGGTGTATTCTGTCCAGAAATAGGCTACATCCCAGATGCCTTTTGGTTTCTTCAATTGCAATTTTGCATGCTTAAATTGTGCGCCACATTCTTTTTTTTTTATCTGAGCAAGGAACAACTAAGTGCTTGGAAAGAAAAGGAAAATTATTAAACTGTTGTTTTTTGTTGTTTTTACACAGGTGGTCACATTTCTGATGATCAGATAAGAAAGTGAGTCAAAATTAACAGTATTATGTTGCTTCTTTCCTTCACTCAGTTCATTAAAGCAGTAAGATGTATCTGTTTTTTCCCCCCATGATTCAGTATATGATAAAAACCAAATGTTTATAAAACTGACTATATGTTTATGAGCTAAATTATGTTTTTGAAAAATAAGCCTTGCAGCATTGTGGCTAAATATTGATGTACAGCTATTTAAATAATACAAAATAAGTAAATAAATAAAAATGTGTGCACATGCATAGAATTGGAAGAGGTTAGTCGAAATGTCTAATTCATACCAAAAGGGGAACAGGCTTTTATTGTGGATTGGGTATTGAAGAAAATCATTAATTTAGATAGTTTTTGTTTTTCTGTAAAAATTCAAAAAATATCCACTGGACTTGGTTTTTTAAGATTTGAAGACGTTTCGCCACCTCTCCAGGAAGCGAAACGTCTTAAAATCTTGAAAACCAAGTCCAGTGGATATTTTTTGAATTTTTACGGAATGACTATGACCTGGATGACTGAGAACCTTCATCAGCATAGTTTTTGTTTCACTCTGTTTCCTCAAAAGGTGTTGTTCCCTCCAGTTTCACAGTTCTGTTTACTTTTAAAATGTTTCTTGTAGCACATTGATAATCAGTAATAATTTTAGAGAGCCCTACAGAAGAATCTGATTTGGGACCCAGACTCAGGTTTACATTATTCATTAAAGAACATCCGTAAATTAATTAAAGACAAGAATATTTTATCTTGTGTCAGTCAATATAGATCAAACAATCATTCATTTATTGCCAATTTTCAGAAACATTTCAGTATGGAGATTTTCAGTTTTTGTAAATCTTTCATGAGTCTAAGACCAAACTCTTCTTAATGTACCAACAAAATTGTACATTACAGCATGTAGTTTAGGAGCTCAATTCTTTTTTCAACTGACTCCGCACATTTAGCTCCTTGCTGTACCACATAACCATACAGTAAAAAAAAAAAAAAAATTTTCTTTAATAACACAAATAAGAAAAAAAATATGTGCAAAAGGATATGTACAGGGATAGATTTACAATTTAATTACAACATTTATAATTAATAAATACCCATTATGAAATACAGTTTTTGGGTTTGCTGCTTGTTGTTTAAGTTTACCAGTCCCAATTTATGGCTGGAAGGGTGTAATGCTGCTGGAGACATTCTCCACCAAAAAGTATCAATTAACAGATATAGTTTCATGGCATTTCATTCAGGAAGAATGGGCCAAAATTCCAGCAAACTATAGTTAGAAGCTTGTGAAAGTATCACTAAAACTTTATGATTAAAGTGGTACATATAAAGCAGTGTTACAATTACTAAAATGTATCTTAATATATCGATCTGAAGAAAGTTAATATAACTCTTCTAATCACTCTTGTTTCTAGTATATATTTGTGTCTTGTAACGCTCCAGCACCAGAGCTAAAGTTGTGCTCCTCTGTAGTGCGGAGGGATACAGTGAACAGTGATTCGCGTCTTCTCCCCGCCTTCAGCTAGCAGCAGCAGCAGCGCCTCAGTGGCTCCCGTCCATTTCCTCTATCCTGAACCGCCGGCAAGCTAACAGCCCAAAACTCCCACAGATATGGTGAGTATTTAACCTAATTATACGCTGTAAATGCGTTCGACTTTGAATTAAAACCTTTTTGCGTTGACTTGGAGCTCCGCTGTCGGTCTCAGAGGATCGTTGTTAAAACATCTCCGGGTTCGTTCATGGGGCGACGCGGGTTGGACCGATTTGACAGCCGTTGAAGCTGTAGGCTATATTAAAAGCTCCTCGGTGTGAAATTACCGCGCATTGGTTCTGTTTTGATGTGTAAAGCACTACCATCGCTTGTGGTTTTTGTGGCGGTTCAGTTCGGCATCATGGCGTTTACCTCAGCGAGACCAATGAATGATTTTTTTTTCCGTCATTTGACAGCCGACTTGTCATTTAGGATAATAGCAAACAGGTTAAATATTGAGTGTATTATCGTCCTTACGCCCATGAAGTCATATTTATGCATGCTAATATAGTAGTTGTCGAATTAATTAACAAGATGCTCATTGGAATAACGTTGAAGGGAATTCATTGCTTGTGTGAGCAAGTTAGAAAAAAAAAGGCTGAATGTTTGGAGATATGAAAGGAAATGCAGTGTTTTTAAATGAAAAAATAAAAACCGGTTGGATGGTCAAAGTATGTAGATTAGTTTGAAGTACCCAGAGGTCAGGCGTGGTCCTTGCAGTAATGAAGCCCAGGGCTTGTCCCTCTTTCTGCCGCCCACCACACATTAATTGATCTAAATTGACTGGTGCTGGTTCCAATTCCAATATGGCGTTAAAAATGCTTCGTTTTCTATTTTTTATTTTAATATTTTTTTACAAGTACAAAAAAATTCTATTATCTTGAAGGTTTATGAACTCCAGATTGTTTCAAACCATATGAGTGTTGAACAAACACAACAGGTTTGAACATTAACATGCAACACCTGGTCCAGTAGAGGTCCACACCCATTCAAAGGCAACAAATTACATGTTTTATTCATTAGTCTGTGAATCTATCCAGACTTTGGAATCAGCTTTTTTAGAAAGCAACCTTTTCATACAATAGCTGGACTGTCCAGTTACACATTCCGGGGCAGATCTCAACATGAAACAAACATGCAAAGCGGCAAAAAGAATCACGATTTTTTAGCTTTAATATCTACATTTAAGATTTTTTTTTAAACTCCAGACTAATAAAACTTTTTAATACAGAAATGAATGTTTAATGTTTTAATATCTGCTCATACTGCTTTTACTGAAAATGTAAAGCAGTAAATAAATTACCTTAAGATAATTTTTTTGGCTGTTTTTAAATACAAATGATTTTGTTTATAATAGTTGTAAACTGCTCAAGTCTACTTTTGATTGCATTTATGCTTTGCCACAATCTGCCATCCTGAACAAGCACAGGGTGATGGTGAAGAGAAAAGGTTCACTTTGCAAACCGTAATAAACTCAACCCGAGGGTGATGAGCCATCTGATGTGACCCACTGGGGGCTCAGAGGACAAAAAGGCACAGACAGGATCAGGGGGCGTTTTTAGACGGCTGCCTGGGGTGATGTGTCACAGTTTATTGCTAGCTGTGGCAATGAAAAGGAAGCTTTACAAGCTGCTAGTGAGCAAAGGTTAGCCCATCAAAACAACCAGGCTGCAAGATCATCTATATATATTTTTTTCTTTTCTCAGGCATCATCCTTTGAGATAACCAAAAACTGAGTAGCATGGTGATGCTGTGACTCAAATAGCAGGGATTCTTGAACTCACTAACTCCTAAAAATGCATCTTACCAGATGCAACGAGATGCTTTGGCCTTTAATCAGAAATTCTTTGGACAAATGAAATGCAGTAATGTGTATGACGTTGCCGTGTAAACCAGAGGCGGTAGCAAAACAAACATGGCTGCTGCACCAGTTTTAGCTGAACTGTTTATTTTTAACAATTTTTGCCTTTGTGGATGGGAAGATGTTAGGCCGTTCCTCCCAACCAGATTTAGTAAAGAGTTTGATTTATCAGTTAACTCAGCTAGTTCTCAAATCCAGAATGTGATGCGTTACAGCTGCTGACACTGGGTAAAGACTTGATATGGGAGGCTGGTGCCACTTGATTCACCCAATCAGCTTGGAGATTTGTACTGAATGTGAATAAGAGTGGCTGCAAATATCTGATCTCATGTTAAAAATAAAAGTATTGGAGAGAGAGGGTATGGACAGTGGAAAATTAGATGATGATAAACCATTCAGTGTCCTGAATTTTAAAATCAGGTTTTTTGTTTTTTTTTTTGTCATAGTTTGGAGATGTGGTATTAACAAAAATGAAGTAGGCTGAGCTGACTTTGTACAATTTGTTGTTGGGAGTAACCAAAATGGATGGATTTAGAAGTGAGCATTTTTATTACATGTTGGTTACTTCTGACAAACAAAGTTGGACTTTTTTTTTGACAAAGACAGCACCTATTCAGGGCATTTCTAAATCTCTGTGTAGGAATTTGTTCAGTAGAATAAATTCTGTCCTATAAGGGGTAGAAAAAATGATGAGGTATGTCAATTTGTAACCTGATCTTAATTATCTGACATCCCTGTTGCTTTATTAAAACCTCAACAGTGCTTTTTGTCTAAATTTTATCTTATTAATAAGTGCATGGATTTCTTTTTAAATATATCCTGAATTCCAAGTCTTTTATAAAAAAAAAGTTTTTACAGAAAATGGGATGCAGGTCTTTAAAACTAGAAGATTGAATCAGCCTCTCTTAAGTGTTCAAGTATTGCCAAGTCATCTTTTTTTCTCCATAAAAAGTCGAGCCTTAAATGACACTTATAAGGTAATAAAATGTATCTAGTCAGTCTTGGTGACTCTCATCTCTGCTTGTGCCATCTGCTGTAACAGGAACAAGATCTTTTGCAAGGCATTTCAGCACCTTACGTCATTTGGACTGAATATCAGAAGCCTTAGCAGCTTGTTAACCATCTCTGGGTTGAACACATTAGTTTTCTTGCAAAAGCCACTACGCTGTACAAACACTTTAGAAAATGTTAAGCCCCAGACATATTTTAAGATTTTTGCATAATTAAACTAAAAAGGAAGAACATACATTTTGACATGCCCTGTCATCAGGGGATGAAGAAAATCTTTGTCGAGAGTTCTGTGAAACCAGGCCGGTATAAATCTATAACCTGATAATTATTTGTACCTATTGGGGCAATTTTTATTCAATTTTTTTTTTAAAGAGAAATAAGCTTTTGAAAGTTAATTTAAAGCACAGCGGCTTTAGCTCTGTTCTGTGGTACATCAAAGGGTTTTTTTGTAAATCACGTATTCACTGACTGGATGAAGTGACCCTTCATGCATCACTTAGGTTGGCTGACCAGTTAACTGATCCTCCCCAGGAGCTGTAACCGTAGCTCAGAGCTGACAGGCTGCAGATTAGCACATACACGCAGACACAAAAAAGCCTACCGACCCCTTCTGGTGTGGACACTTTTACTCTCATGCATTCAAAACCAATTTCCTGACACGTTTCACTGACCTCCTCCGGCCTGGCCTCCTGGCCACCGCTCACACGATCTCAGACGCTGCTCACCTGGAGAACTTGAGCAGAGGGTGGACTCTCCCTGAGCATCTGTACAATGAAGCAATTGGACGGTACCACCAACTTGGAGTCAGATGCACCGAACGACGAAAAGTGTTTGCTCTCGTACGGCCACACATGGAAAAGGAATGGCATTTAGATTAATTAAGAGATTGAAAGATGGACATCTTACCAGGATGAAGTCAACAGAAGGACCAGCTGTTAAAGCAACTTTTCATGTAGATTATGGAAGACTGATCCACCTGTCAGGTCAGTCCGATCTGCTGGGACTGTGAAAACCTCCATCTATCGGCTTCTGGGAGAACCTGAACACCCCTCTGGCAGTCTACCAGCCACGTTGTCACCAGACATCTGTCTAACATATCCAGGAGGATCAAGGAGAACATCAGGCCACTTAAATCTCTATTAGGCACTTTATTTATGTTTGTTAATGCTGATAATGTTATTTATTTGTGCTTAATGATGTGAATGTTGTAATGCTGGGACACGCTGCTTTATGGAAAACTTCATTCTGACACCTTTGTTGTTCAGGAGGGAAAAATAGATGTCTGGTCATTATTTCTACCAACCACACATTGCTCCCTCCATTAAACAGGATATTTTACCTTACTGCCATTGTTCCCTCATCATGTTACCTCAGAAGGCAGCCATTTATTCCACAGAGGATGAGCTGGTGAGCCTGTCCACAGTCTATGACCTCTTAGATGAGCAGCAGCATTACTTGAAGGAGCTCATGCAGCAGCAGGAGAGGAACTACAGAGCTTTCCTGCAGATGTTGATGGACACTTCTTCCAGCCGTATGGACAGCCTGGTCCGGGAGATGCAGGACCTGAGGAACCATCTTCAGAGAACCAAAGCAGAGCTGGCAGAGGTTAAAAAACAGGGCATTCAAAATAGCAAGCGAGCAGAGTGTCTGGCTGAGAGCTTGGTGATGGTTGAGGGGGCGCTGGATAGGCGTGGTATGAAAACCGAAGACTGTGGTGGAGAAACAAAAGGAAAAGTTATGGATGTAAACCAGAGCGGAGGAGGAGCAGCGATGTTCAAGTTTGATGGAAGAGGAGTTGGAGGCAAAGTAACAAAAAAAACAGAACCAAAAGCTGCTAAACTGGTGGCAGACCTGACTGATATAAACTTTGAAGACTTTAAGGTAGTCAACAGATGGACATTGACCAAAGGGTTTGGTTACACTTGATGTGCTTTACTGGTGTCAATATGTGATGTCAAAAAGGCAGTTGTTGTAAATCCTCTGTTCTGTTTCGTTTCAGGCCGACCAGCTAACAGAAGAGCAGATTGCTGGTAAGACGACACAGAGGCTGTTTTTTTTTTTACTATTCAGCGTTGGTTTTTAGCATGGTGTCTTCATATATTCTTTTTTTTTTTTTTTCTTCAGAGTTCAAGGAGGCCTTCTCCTTGTTTGATAAAGATGGAGATGGTACCATCACCACCAAAGAGCTTGGTACCGTCATGAGGTCATTGGGTCAGAACCCAACTGAAGCTGAACTGCAGGACATGATCAATGAGGTGGACGCTGATGGTACGCTACTGACTGAGTTCAACCCTTCCATCGATCTCATGATATATTTATACCTCAGGCTTAATTTGGTGCTGAGCATGATTATTGCGCAGCACCTACTTCCTATAGTTTTTTTTTTTTAGTTCTTTTTTTGAAGACTGTTGACTGCAGTAAAATCCTGGGGCATCATGGAAAATGAACTTAACATTTCCCAGGAAGCCTTAATGGATTAAAAGAAAGCTGTAATACTTGTGTTTGCCAGGCAATGGAACCATTGACTTCCCAGAGTTCCTGACAATGATGGCACGAAAGATGAAGGACACAGACAGCGAAGAGGAGATCAGAGAGGCCTTCAGAGTCTTTGATAAGGTGGGTTCTGGCTGTGTGTGCATATGTGTGTGTGTTTGCATGCGCTAATGTGATGTGCTTTAATTTACCAACCATGTGCGCCCTGTTTAGGATGGCAATGGATACATCAGTGCAGCAGAGCTTCGTCATGTGATGACCAACCTGGGAGAGAAGCTGACGGATGAAGAAGTAGACGAGATGATCAGAGAAGCCGACATCGATGGAGATGGACAGGTCAACTATGAAGGTATTGTAGAGATGCAACATGTGGCATTAACTGATTTTTTTAAAACAAAAACAATGCTCTTATTGGTTTATTTTTCTCTCTCTCTCCCCCACAGAGTTTGTTCAGATGATGACCGCCAAATGAACTGAACTTGCAAAGAATCAGTCAAATGTTTCACTTACCTCTTATTGCAAAAATCTACATTTAATCATACTGTTCTGTATAGACAATTTAAACTGAATGTTGGAATACTGAAAATCTGTCCATATAAACAAGTTAAAAAAAGGTAAAAGAAAAAAAAATTTAAGTAATCTGCATGTACTGGCCTGTATTCCCCAACCTCCTCCTCGCTGAGCTGACCAATCAAATCTCAGCTCGTTAGACGAGCAGCCTGTGCAGCTGGCTAGTTTGGTCGCTGCTTCCTGGTTCCATCTGCCTGAAATCATGATTATTTGGGTGGGTCACCTGCCTTTTCTTTAAAGTCCTGTTCTGTTTTCCTTTCCCTTCATGCATGCAGCGTTAACATGGGTTACTGTGGAGATCTCAGTGACAGAAGGCTGTTGTTAGGCCTCAGAGGAGGAAGAGCTGGTTCAGAGGGATGGGAACGAGCGAACTGATGGGATGTTCGCTCGGCTAAATAATGTCAGAGACAGAATATTTTTAAGAAAAATTAAAATGGAATAAACAACTAATTTTAGATTTTGTGTTTCTGGCATGTCTATTAATCACTTTATCCTTACCTTTTTTTTTTTTTTTTTTTGAGGGCGTATTGCCCCTTTGGCAGTCTTTGTCTTATCCAATATGGAGGAATGGGCGGGCTTTAGAGGCAATTATATACAAGCACAGTTTCTGAGTCAATGTTTGCACCAATGCTTGTACCAGTGTAAGTATTAGTTCGGATGTTTACAGACACTGAGTAGAGTAAAATAAGAGTTATCTCTCTGCAGACTGGTGCAGGCAGTTGTCTTGTAGACTGTGCATGTATGGCTCCACTTGGGTGGGTGGGGGTGAGTTTCAGCTTAATGGGAGGGACAGGGTCGGCGCTTTGCAGCATTTCTACCTTGTTTTTGTGTGTGAGTTTGCCTGTGTGCGTGTGGGTGCAGCGCGGCCCGACCCAGTCCAGCTGTTCTGTTCGGTTCAGTTGATCTGCATTCCAAGATGTACAATGCTAGTCTTTACATTTTGTTTTTCCAATAAAATATCATGAACTAAAGGTGCTGGGTGTTTGTGTTTGTAGAGGAGTTGACGTGTGTTTTCTCCCTGTGGATCCGCGGGGGTGGTGCAGCTTGAAGATGACTAATCAAAGCTTTCTGACTGCCTGTGATGTCCTGCCGAGAGCCCACCAAACATATCGTTGAAAGGGGCCTCGATTCTTAAATATAAATTGTGCAAAATCCTCATAAAACCATGATTTTCCCCATGAAGGCTGGAAATCCTTACATTTTTAAAAACAGAAAAATTATTCTGCGATTCATTTGGGTGTGTGTTGTGAAAACTGGATCACCACAAATGGTTGCTGAGGAGTTGTTGCTAGGCAACCTAAACATGGATGGAGGAGAAGGGGCAGCAGAAAACCGTGGGAGTTCGAGGAGAAAAGGTTTTGACAATTATAGAATCAGAGGCAGCATAATAAACTTACAGAAACAACCTTATTTTCAGTGTGATTCATACCTCTATCAGTAGTATAAATCTGGACTGTAAGATATCAGGTTTTTGTACGATTCAGAATTGTCCAGGATAAGTGTAGGAGGTGCTGGATGCGTTTCTCACACTAGCTGCAGTTATGTAACTGGGGAGTAGTTTTTAGAATACTGATCCGTGCTGGCAGTCCCATTTTCTAATGTAGATTTTATTTTTGTATAGTTGCTTTCAACTGGGGACTAATTCCTGGTAATGTCACTGTATGAGAATATGTATTTAAGAAAATCTATTTAAAATAGAAGTGTCAGGTAAAGTTTGGGTCACGCTGTGATCTCAACAGTCATCACAGCTCTAATTTAACGCTTTATCAGGAAATTTGTTGCAGCTGCTGTTTTTGGAACATGGGTTTTGTTGACCCAGTTTAGGTCCAGCTTGAGCTGTTGTACAGATGGTTTCATGTTTAACCCTAAAATACCTAAAGCGTTCATTGACTGTAAGATCCCCACTTCCTGTATCTGCATAACAAGCTAGGATCTTTACTGAAAACCATGTCAGAGTAACAAGTTTATGCTAATATGGTTATTATTCATCCAGATGTCTCCCTTTTGCCAAAGACATTCTCCATGACATCTTAATGCTAAGCACCATTGTAAACCTATTACTGCCCTTATTTCATGCTTTTTTTTTTTTTTATTCCCTATGTTGTAACTATGGCTCAATGGAGCTAACATACATGGAAGGTGTACTTCTCTTGCCAGTAAAAAGTCATGGGCTTGATTCTAGCTTACCATGAGTGACTGCAAGGCTCTGTGTATGAACAGGTGTAGATGAGGGACTGTTCTCTTTTGAGGCCATTTTGTTGTATTTCTTTGCTTCTTGGTGTCTGGTTGGTGTTTTGATCAAGCTTTAGTTGAAAAGTTGGAGAAACATATTCACCCAAAATAGTTTGGGAAGTCTATAGCATAACTCAGAAACAAAGCAAGCCCAGATCACTATCCCTCCCACACCATGCTTAGCAGGTGCTTAGAGGCGTTCAGTCCTTTCCTAGATTTTAACATTAAACATAAGACTGTAGAGTCTTAATTTGTAGCTGTTTTTACCTATGAGCACAGCAGAGTCTGGCTTTCTGGTCAATTTGCTGATGTGATGGACTTCAAATGGTAAATAAACAGGCTTATAACCACACTGGGAGTAATGGGCAGTTGCTAATCCATTTCTCCTTTGCATTATGCAGAAGTATATTTCCTAGACCAGGGCCTAACACCTGTGCTCTTTGGAACATCTGCGATGGCTCTTAATAGTGGTCTAAAATTATATAAGGAAACGACTAATGTAGTAGAATAAGGTATACCAGCCCTGGAAGCTTTATTGGCTTTAACAATAATGTTTGACTTTTCACTATAGAATAACATTAAAATACCGACAAAATTTTTAGATGTTTGTCATTAGCTTGGAAATTTTTTTTATTTTATTTTTTTTACATAAAATACTATGGAGAAAAATCTATATGAACAGTCTTTTCCCAAATTTAAGATGCAAATCCTATACCATACATTTATCAAAGATACATTTTTTTAGATTTGCATTATTTCTGGCTCTAAACCTTTTATCAGCCAGGCTGAATTTTAAAGGCTGCAGACCCTGTACTAAGCCCAAAAAAACATATTTAAGAGGTGCTAACACTGATTATGGTTAATATGAGTGCATTTAATCAGTATCTAGGTGCCACTTCTCTTTTTTTAAAGAATAAATGTTTGCATAGATCTCCTTTAAAAAAAGATCCTTTATGATCACCTACAAGCAAACCGTTTTTCAGTCAGTCTCCAGCCCCATGGGTGACCTTCCTGAGAGATTAACTGCTGGTGACACCTGAGACACAAGCTGAGACTTCAGTCCAGCAGGGGGCTGGGGCTTCCTGACACTCCAGGACAAAACCTGTCAGCGTTGTGATCCTCTGGAACAAAGGAGGACACACCTGAGAGAGTAATGGACGCCGCTGGCCCCAGGGTCACAGCCAGAGGGAACACCACACACAGCTTTACAGAGGATCTTTATTATCATTTCAGTCACTGATTTACAGCAAATACAACTCGATGATTAAACTGAACCCGTTCATCTCCTCACTCTGCCCACAGCTTCACTGTGTATAATCATAACTTACTGTCTGAAATATTAAAACATGAGGGTCAATCAAATATACATCAATAACTCTTTAAATTTATGATAAAAAAAAATCTAAAGGAAAACATAACCTGGCTGTGACAGAATGCAAAGACAAACAAGATGGATGCTTTTACATAGAAAACCTGGTTGTTGAAACAGATCCCGCTTATCAGTAACAGCTCTCTTCTGTGCATATTGTATTCTGTAATCTAAATAACAGCATGCGTTGACATGATAAAAATTCCCACAGAAATAATAAAATAGTCCATTAATCTGTCTGAATTCATACAGATCTTTTTTTGGCATTTATTGACTAATTGATCCAATGATCATGTCTCCAGTGGATGGTACAGTAACAGCAATCCGCTCTGGTTTAACAGCAGCGGGTGAATCTGTTGTTTTATCCAGATGTTTGGCTCTTAAAGCAAACGTCAAAGCATTTATTTTTTCCTGGCAGTAATGGGATTTTAAAACCAACCTGTGTTTCTTTGGACAAAATAAAGTGTAAACAAAATCTTAGGCTTTCGAATGCAAACGTTATTGTATGTACAAGGACAAAGGTGCACAAACGAGACGCAGGAAAACATGTCGGCGCACACCAACACACAGCAGAGGAAAATTATATTTGCATTTATGTACATAGTGTGAGAAACATCTGCACAGCTGTTTACACTTAGTCTTGTGTGTAGGGAGCAGTTTGCAGATCCCTGGTTTATGATGGCGTCTCATAGTGCTCGGGGAATGATGGTGAAAGGCAGGATGGGGCTGCTGGCCTCCAGCTCCAAGGCAGTGAGGAAACACTCGGTGGCGGCAGCGGCGTTCCCCTGAGCCTGCAGCACCTCGCCCAGACTGTTCCACACGTCGTGAGCCGTGCTGACGAAACGACAGGAACATATTTATTTTTCTCTGATTAAATGCAGGCAAGCAAAAGAAGATTCTGGCATCCAGAACATTAGATTAAAAATAAATTTATTGAAAGATTGTGTTTAAGAAACAGAATCAAGCAAAGTAAATAATAGACATAAAGAAGCCTACCTGTTGACCTGCACAGCATCCCTCAGGACTTTCTCAGATAGACTGTAGCGCTGCAGCTGGTGCAGAATCAGACCCTAAAAGAAGCCCCCCCAAAAAACACAAATTAGGTCCTGATGGTTGTAAACCATTCTGTGATTAACATAAATTGTGATAAACATAGATTATAAAACGTGTTAGAGTTCCTGTCACCAAATACAACTGTGCACACAGACATCACAGCATTCTACATACTAGGGCACAATACAACTGTTTTCCATGTATTGAATTAATCTCAAACGTAACCCAAGTACATGCTTGCTGCTGCTGCTCAGGATTGAACAGGGACAGCAGTAATCAGGTTACATAATGCATCCTCATACATGAGAGCTTTTCCAGCGGTGCTGCTCTGGGGCCTGTTGCTGAGGGTTAAAACAATGCCAGGATGAAATGACTTTAGCAAGAAACTGTTGCCATGTCCATGATTGCATGAAACACTATAAAGGCATTTCCAAAATATTTGAAGACCTTTATTTAACAGTGGGATAGATGAAAAGAAAGCATTTTAGGATGGCTGGCCATTGTTCTGGGAGAAAATAAAAATGTACGATTGGATCAGCTTCAGGGTGTATTTCAAATGCTGAATTTCACCGCAGTATTGTTAGGATTGTTCTACATATATGACCCGTTTTAGGCTGTCTGAGCATCTTCGGAAGTTTGAAGGAGGCGACGGACAAGAAGTCTGATGAACCTACAGGTTAATATCTCCAGGAATTTGTTCTGCCTAGTTTGGACTTGTATAGCAATCCGACAGACACAGGATCTCTGTTGGAAAATGTTCAAACTGAGCGTTGTATGCATGAAGAAATAAACAGCAATGGGTATCTAATATAAAAAGCTCAGTAATTCAGCCCTAATGATTTGCTCAAGGTTACAATCTGAACCGGTTTAATACCCGAAGTAAAGCTCCTCCAAAGAAACCAGGAAAGTCAGACCAAGGTCAAAAGTAAAAACATGCAGAATAGTAAAGGACGCAGCAGGTGTGTTGGTGTCTTACCAGTCTCTGCATGGTTTTGACATGAGTTGGGTTGATGGACAGGGCTTCTTCGTACCATCGTTTGGCATCATCCATGTTGCCCCTCAGCTCGGCTATCTGCCCCCTCATGTACAGAACGTTGTGGGAGGTGGGGAAGAGGTTGGCAGCCTCCTGGGTGCACGCTGTGGCCTCTGCAGGTTTCGACATGCCGATGTACACCTCAGCTGTGGAGGGAAAAAAAGACAGAGGAGGAAATGTTGCAGACCATTAAAAAAGTAGATTTTTATGAGTAAAAATAACCCTAATGGAGACATTCTGTATTAAACCAATAGAAACAGATTCAACTACGGGGACTTTGGTATCGAACAGGAGAAGGCAGAGCAGGGTTCTGTTATTGAACTCTATCTAAAGCTTTTATTACATCAATGATGAAGAGGGAGTGATGTCGGCAGAGCAGGAGGGAGGAAATGAATGGTCCCTCTATCTGCCCTCGAATTTGCTGATTACATTAGTCGTGTCGCCAAGCTGGAAATGAGTGCCAGATGAGAGGAAGCAGCTGGACGGATAAACAGCAGCATCAACCGCCTCTGTTAAAGCCTGTGTTTACATGTGCCGCCTGCTTCTGTTAACGTTCTGCTTCCCAAATGTCTGCTGCTGCAGAGTCGGGGCTCCGGCAGGGAAATATAGCATCCAATCACTGTGCTTCCAGGAAGAGCTGACAGCAGCTCACTCTGTTGGATTAATATGGACAACTGGAGGACGATTTATAATCCTAGGTTTTCTAATTTGCAATTTAAAAAATTAAAAAGCCTGAACAGACAGTCTTACTAAATTTTTTAGGTGAATTTTAATACTTAAGAATTCTGACAGAAAAAGGTTGTAAAATTGGAACCAGATATCAGGTATTTTCTGTAAATTTAGAAAAATATCTATTTTGATTATGCTTATAGGGGAAAAAAAGAGATAAAGGGCTTTATATGCATGAAAGCATCTGGTTAAAGACAAGCAACTAAAAACATGAGCAGGATCTTGATGTTTGGCTCATCATTTACCTCCAATAGCAATTTCTGATGCAGAACAACACTTTCTGCTTCAATAAAAGAAAAAATGTGTGGAAGCAGACCTGCATGTAACCAGATCTGAGCCAGGGTCATCCAGGGATGGAGGGGTCCGTGTTTGGGAGCGCTGCTCTGCAGAGAAGAGGCCACCTCTGACAGAGCCTGCTCCACCCGGCTGGCCGCTATAGATGTAGCATGCACCGAACCTGCAGGGTGAGGGGAAAAAAAACAAAACACTGCATTGTTAAAACGCACAAAAGAAGCCCTAAACGTTTAGAACGGCTGCAAAGCAGTAGAGCAAAAGAAATTTTATTTAGTTATGCAGCCAACAGCAGAACTCACTAAACACACCTTGTGAAGCGCAACAAGGAGCTACTGTGTTTTCTCCTGCAGTAAAATAAAAGCTGAAAAACTCAAACTAGTATGCAGATCACACCACTTCACACAGTTACTGTGATGCATACATGAGTAAAAAAAATATGCATTGACTGCAACACTAAACATTTTGGTAGCTAAAAGGCTCATTACAATCTGCACTGTTTACCTTCTAGGTTTGTCTACTCTGTTGTCTATTTTACTAATTTGGTTTACTCAGAGGAACCACCCATTTGTAAAAGATCAGAGAGATAAAAGATAAAAGGACTTATTCTAAGCGAAATAAAAAAGGAAACAATGGCTGCTGATAAGGGGAAGTTGAGGAAATGACAAAAGTATGTTTGTTTTACTCACCACAAACGCAGGCTGGGAATTCTTTTTTAAAAGCCATTTTGAAAGCAATCGCTTACATTTCCGTAAGTTACAATCACAGATATCTAATGTATTTAGTCGGGATTTTATGTTTTAGAACAGCAAAGTAGTGCCTAACTTAAAATTGTGTTTCTGCAAAAAAAAAAAAAAAAAAAAAAAAAAAAAAAAAAAAAAAAAAGAATGATGAAAAGTATATTGGCATATATTTCGAGTTGGCTTGGAGTTTATTGAAACTGTAAGGTTGGGTTGGGAACGCATTCACATCAGTCATACAAAAACAAAGATGCAGGATGTCCCCGGTTAGTAAAAATGCATGTAGGCGAAGCAGCATTTACACCTCTTGCAAGGTGAAGCATGGTGGTTGCAGCATCACGCTGTGGAGGTATATTCTTACCAGGGAAAAGGAAGCTGGTTGTAGTTAATGAGAGGACAGATGAGGATAAATACAGGTGAATGGGTGAAGAAAACCTGTTAGAGCCTGGAGATGACCATGATGTTGAAAACGCTGAAGAGGCGTGAATACTTTAAATCATTTCCAACGCCGTGTTGGTGCTTTACAGTTATTTCTATAAACTGACCTAAACTCTTTCATGCCATTTTTAGATTGATCCATTTCTGCAGGAAGCTCTGTGATTTTCACTCATTCAGCTGAAAACTTTACTTCAAATAACACAAGATAACACAAGATAAGACAGACACATCTTCTGAATGACATCTATGTTTTTTTGCTTCCTCTCTTAAAGTTTGTCTTACATATACTGTAAAGTACAAGTTGTTAGAGACAAGTGTCTCAATGTTCAGTATAAAAGCCAGACATGTGTAACAAATGGTTGGGCTCACAAACAGGAAGTTAGCTCCTGCTCTCTTTCCTGGAGTCGCTCATGATTTGTTGGCTTTTTCCTATCCTTAAAGAGGAAATGAATGTTGGAAAAATCTACTTCCTATTCCACAATAGTATGATAAACTACGCTTCAGGTTTAACAGAATCTTTAAAAAAAAAAAACCATTAAAGTCAACAAAAATTTTGAATATATTACAAAAACTTAAAGCTACAGTGTGTAATTTTTAGCAACATCTAACGTCCAGACTGCAGCAACATGAACATCTCCCCCCCACCGCTTCTCCCCCCCAACAGTACGGCGAGCGTTACGGGACAAAATGTCTTCCACGACGTCCGCATCACCTACCTTCTCAAGTGATGAGGTTTGTTTACATAGATAATTTTACAGAAAGTATTCTCAGGCATAATACTGCCATCTATTGTTCAGTACCATCTCAGTTCATCTCTCTCAACTTGCCGTAGTTACTTTCGAGCGTAATGGGCGATCTCGCAATCACTAGTTTGTTGGCTCTGCACTGCCGTAGCGCAAAGATGTCTGCCTCCATGGCTGCGAGACCCGCTCCTATGTAATTATAAATAACGAATTCTAAGGCAACGCAAATATTAAGGTTAAGAGGCTGAGCTCGTAGATGATGATAAATAACATAGTTATGTATAATATATTACATTTCTGACTGTATATCCCTGTAATTATTACACACTGTAGCTTTAAAAAGCATCTAAATCATTTAACCATCAGTGTTCTCCTAAGGTCACAGAGAAATGATTCCTGTTGCCTTGTTTTCATCAAGTTTGATTTCTCCGTCATGCACAGGCTTCATTTTATTTTCGGGTTGGAGATTCTAAGATTTATTTTCTGCAAACATTTTTGAAAACAGATTTCTATCTGAACTGGGCAACCGTTCATAGTTTAACCCAGCAGCTAACAGTTGTCTGATGTGAGATGAGGAAACTCTGCGTCTCTCTAAACAAATAAAAGTAAAAACTTATAATAATTTCTACTTTTATTTAGATCAGATAAATTAACAGTTATTTATAAGAGAGATTTGTATAGACTTTAATCACTCTTCATTAGACTTTTTGACAAAAAGTAAATATTCATCCATTCAACAATAATACCCTCCTTCATTACCCTGGACATCCGTTTTTTAATATAAATATTTAATACTTCATATATTTTTATATTTCTATGGGGTTTTTTTTGTCTTTGCTCTTAGACTTTATGTTGGCCCTTTTTCTTGTTTATGCCAATATGTCAAACATAAACATTGGTAAATACATCTTAGTTCAGTTAATCACATATAATTCAATAAATATCTGATGGAGATTCAGCATTATCAGAAGACTTCTCCCCATCTTTATAAAAAAGAAAAAATAAATCATTACATTTATGATATATTCTTTCTCTAGATATGTAAAGAATTCTTGTCAGATGATAAATATATCAGATTAATTAATCATTCATACACTATAAAAAAAAAAAAAAAAATCAGTCCTCTGTTGCTTTATGGTGGTTTTAAAGCGCTTTATAAAGAAAGTTGGTAGAAATTAGTAAAGCACCATTATCTGCTACAAGCAAGATTACAAAATGAAAACTTTTATCTGAGCCTAACCAGGAAAAAGCAAGTAGGCAGGGCAAAATAAAGTAGGATGAAATGACAAAAGATACTTCGAAGGCTACTTACAAACAGAAAACATGGAGGGAAAACCAAGAGTGTTAGCGTCCTGAGGGCCGCCTTGGAAAATAAAAAGCCAAAGGATGGAAAAATACAGATGCTTGTTAATGATGGAGAGGAGGAAGGAACAGAGAAAGAATAAAGAGGAAAACAAAGGTTTTCATTCTTAACATGGTGCTAAAAACACAAACAAGCTCACATGTTAATAATCCTGTTTGGTCAAATAAATGATTGCAAACTACAATTAACTTAGGAAAAACATTTTTTCCTTCGTTCTTTGAGGGATCGTAGTGTTTATCTGGCCTCCCAACTAGAACAACATGCACACACAGAGGACATTAAAGGACAATATGGGGGAAGGGGTCTGCTGTCTAAATGACAAAAATGTGAAAGGAAAAGAAAGATGTAGAGTAGTAATAAAAATACTTTCATTCCTCACAGCTTTTAATTCTAAATTAGTTTTCAGTCTTCCTCTTCTTAACTATCCAACTTTACAAAATACAAGTAGGAACACTCGTGTTCAGATGAGTTATTTCAGCATTAGTTCTATTAATCCAGATTGAAGGACCAAACTCTGATCTGACTGGACTGCTTACATTTACAGACAGGCTATATTTAAAGACCTTTAAAGATGGATTTAAACTGTTCTCTGTGTAAAATGATAATCTAGCAAAACATTTGAGGCATAACTTTGAATCTAACACAGTTTGCAGAACAATCAAGGTTGCACTATGACTAAATCTATGGCCGCCGTTTACGGAGATGCAGGATTCCCACCATTATAAACCAAGAACCAAAACCGATATCTTCAAGTTTGGCTGAAATTTCCAGCTTCCCATATGAACAACAGCACTTATTTTTATTTTGTTTGAGTTTTTACGGCACTATAGTGGCTTGTTTTTTCGACCATAGGCTGACAGGAAAGGGGATATGAGAGAGGGAGAGACATGCAGCAAAGGACCACAGGGCGAATTCGAACCCGGGTCAGCTGTATTGATAAATAAAGCCTTTGTACATGGGTAATGCGCGCTAACCACTGTACCAATGAAGCACACCCAAATGCAGCACTTTTACAACCTTAGGAGAAAATAAACTTATATATTGTTATTTTTATATATTGCTATTTTTGTTTTTAGAATACATTGTTTTTATGCACATTCAGACGTGCTGCACTGTCGATCTATGATTTCATAGATATCAGCACAGAGCTTCTTTTACAAACCCCTCAGTATCCAAATAAAATAACCGATCAAATTCTTGCAATTCATCTACCCTGCTTCAGATTCCAGACACCCATTGCAACTTTTAAAAAGCCCTCAAGATCATCTGTGTTATGTTACTAAATGTTTTTTTTTTTGGCATGTGAAGTCTGTGAGTTATGATCAGTGCGGTAGGAATTTAATGCCAGCTGTGAAAAGCCTTGCAGCAAAAAGGAAATATGTTGGTGTTTGACACAGAATTGTTGGTTTCCATAAACTTGTATCGTTACAGCAACTGTGCTTTGTTTCAGCTCCCTCCTCAATCAACAGATCTGTATCTTTGGGATAATCTAGTATGCCTATTATTATTATTATTATTTTTTTTTTTACGTTTTACAAATATTTACACGCTAAAAGCTTGTACTATAAGGAGTTGTGGGAAAAGAACGTGCAGGTCTGCAAACTAGGCGTTTTATCGCAGCTCACTCCGCACACCATGCTAGGGACAGGGTGCACAAGGATGCTCATTACAGTTGGAGAGCTGTCGCAGAACGATGTGGTTGTAAAACGTGTGGGTCCTGGTCTTGGTGGGTGTTGGAAGAGGACCAGGACAGGAGGGCGGAGGAGAAGAAAGGGGAGGGGGGCTGGATGGGTTTCTGGCTGAAGCGACAAGGGGAGGAGGCTGGAAAAAGTAGAGAGGTGATGAAGGTGAGGACAGCGGGGAGGAAAGGGTGGACACTGTTGATGGGGAGGTTGGAGAAACTGGTTCAAAACCAGAGAGGGAAGAAGAAGAACCTGAGACTAAAATAGAGAAATTAAAACAGAAAGGAATCATTAACGAGGCACTGGATACAGAGAGAAGAGCAGAAAGACTTTCTTTTGACAGCCCTTTGACTTATTTTGGAGATGTGTGTTTGTGCCTACCAGTGTCAGGGTCACTGAAGTCGGGCAGCGTCATGGCATTGAGCTGTCGTCTGTCTGCTATGGCTCGGTCCAACAGGCTGCTGCCACGGCCTGAATCACTGCATGGACATAAAAACAGACAGCGTTTCTGTACGACTCATAACATCAAAGATAAACAAGCATTTAGTTTCTTTAAAACTAATTTTGCACTAGTGAAGTGTCCCTGTGTTTACCTGGGGTTAGTCAGGTTGTAAAAGCTCTTCCAGATCTGCAGCATGTGTTTACAGGTGAGCAGAGCTTCCTCTGGTCCTCTACACATGGCCTCCAGCTTCACCTTGGTATACAGCAGACTACACAGAGGAGTACAATCAGGTCAGGGTCTGCCACAATGTTAGTCAGACATTAAATGATGTATGACGGGGGGGTCCTTACTTGAAGTTCTCAGGGTACTCTGACAGGGCCATCTCTATGATGTTAAGAGCATCATGATAGTGTTTCTGGGCAGAGAGAAGCAGGGCCAGCAGGTGGAGGGAGTGGACATCGTCTCCTTGGAGTTGCAGCGCCTGTCGAACATATCCTAATGCCTCGGGGATCTAAGCACGGGCACACACAGACTACAAGTGTTCACTAGAGACAGAATAAACCACTATTTAAGTGGTAGATAGGTAAGTAGGAATATTTTTATTGTGTCTTAAATGCATTTTTTCGTTCAGTTTATTGGTGTTACCTGTCTGGATACAGCAAGCTGCAAAGCCAGATAAAAAGCTGCCAGATGGTCAGTGGGAGACAGACTCTGTGCTCTGCAGATAAAAGAGAGAAAAAAAAAAAAGTTTAGACATGCTAGATTAAAAAAAAAAACTTTTTAAAAACTAAAACACTGCAAAACCTCTGAAAGGCTCCCAAAGCTTTCCTCTGGTACTCCTCCTGTGTGCTCCGAAGTGAAGCTGAGGAGATACAGACAAACACATGAAAGAAAACATTCAGATAAGAGCCGCAACAGAAGAAAAGGTCCAAAACCAAATGAGCCAATAGCTAATAGATCCATCTTTAGTAGCAGTAACTCAGCAGTTTTATTCCCTCAGGTTAGAGAAGTTTGTAGACTCCTAAAAAGTGATTCAAGCATAATAACACCTTGATTCTTTTTTTTAACCTTTCTGTTGGAGATTTGTTGTTGAGTTTACGGTTGGTGTGCTGCTGATGACCAAACCTCAGATTTGACTACTATACTTTGATGCCCAGAGGTGTTTATGGTTTACCCATTGACTACAAGGTGTTCAGATCATGCAGCTGCAAAGTAAGCCCAATCATCACTCCCTTACCGCCGTGTTTGGTAGTTAGCATGAGGTATTGGGCTGCTATGCACATAACAGGCATTATTCCAGTTTTTTGTTTTTATCTTGCACAGATTTTAGATCTAGGCTTGTTCTGTACGGCTTTGTAGAGCCAACCTTGGGTTTAGATTACTAAACAGACTTACCATCAGTGGCCTTGAGGCTGTAAACCAGACCGATTGCCAAGTAGCCTTTGCCTCTGAATTCTGCTGCTTTCTCTTCCATGTCAATCACCATCTTTGCAAACTTCTCACCTTCATCCAACTGAAATTTCAGGGCATATAGATGTAAAACAAACAAACAAAAAAAACTATAAGAAAGAGATAGAAGTGAAGGAAAGATGTTGTTGGACGCATTGAAGCCAAGCTTTGCCCCTCTTACCCAGTGCAGGGGACCAATGCACATTTTAACAGCCAGCAGTGGGATGGTTGGGTCGTCTGGCTTCAGGCGGATGCACTCCTTGAGAACCTTGACAGCACGAGCGGATTTGCCAGCAGCCATTAGCGACAAGGCGAGCTGGTACCACAAATGGAACTCCTCGAATGCGAACTTCATAGCTCTCTCTAAACACTAGAGACAGCAACAGAACCTGTTTTTTTTTTCCCTCTCCTTCTAGCTTACCTCAGAAACATCATTTCAGGACTCTAATTCTGTGTTGAGTGTACATTCTCATTTTACCTCTGACAGCATCTCATACTGCCCCCTCCTGCCCAGAGCTATGGTCAGCAGATCATACACCACAGAGGCAGACTGTAGGCTAATGATGCGGTCGTTGTTGTGCTCAGGAATCCTGCTCAGGACAGCGTCCCGGTTGGCCTGAAGCACAAACAGACACGGATGTAGAAACAGAAGCTGATGTCTATAGTTTCAAAGGTGCCACAATACAAACCATGGACTCGCTAATCAGTAGCAGCAGGAGGGCTTCCTCTGTGTTCTCCTGGGGACAAAACAGACTGAAAAAAAGCAGAAGAAAGATGCAGATGGACATGGTTGAGAAGACCAGTTAGACCCTTTTGAATAATTCGTACCAACAAAGGTCATAAAAGTGTCCTACTTCTCTCCCGAGTATACTCGTGGGCGTCGGCTTAGGGTGTAGTTCTTGCTATAGGTAAGCCCTTTCTGTGTGGGATTATCCAACGGTGACACTGTTGGAGGATCCTCCAGAGGAGACCAGTAGCTCTGTTCGCACATCCCTCGGAGCAGGATCTCTGCCAGCTGCCGGGCTATTGTCTACACATGGTTAAATGACAGATTAGTTAAAGCATTAGTAAGTAAATTTGCACAATTTTCTCCAAAAACAAAGTAAAATTATCATGACTTTTTTATCAACAGGTACAAACTGAGGATGACCAACAAATTCTCACCATGCGAAGATTCTGGGTGGTTCTGGTTTCAACGGCCCGGAGAATCTCCCGAAACCTGCCCACACCCTGCGTCAGGTTTCTAAAAGGGAGGAAAAACACAAAGAGAGAGGAATCAGAAATGTCAGACAGTGCAGACCATGAGAAACAGCAAAGCCATTCGGAAAACCTGTTTGATTTTATGTACTAAAGACAGGCATGCCAGTCTGTGACTTTAACAGGTAAAGATAATAATGCAGAGGCTTTTTAAGGCGTCGGGTTTCAGGTCTGACAGCTAATATAATCTTTAACTTCTGTCAGCAGAACTGTTGATCTTCTGTGCTAACTTGAGATTCTCACTTATGGGAAACGAGTCTGCTCCGTTTTAAATCCACACTGTGCGTCTCAAACTAAAAACTAGGCTCAGTGCTCATGCAGTTTTAGGATCCGTCTGAAAAGAAGGACGAAAGTTTGTTTTCAGCTGAGCCAAATGGGCAAAGCTCTTACTGGTCAGCCTTGGCGGACTGCTGGCTGGACAGATAGATAAACCAAAGGTCGGTTGGATGAATGAAAGAATAAAACCTCCCGCTTTAGATTAGTTTGCTGAACTTGAAGCTTCAACAGCTGCAGCAAGACTTAATATAATTTAACCTTTCTGAACATAAGCACCACGTAAAACTGTGAGAAAACCTCCAAGCTGAAATGTGATTCTCACTTAGTTTTATTCACACTTTTCTCCTCACATAACCATGTTTGCAGTTTTATACGATCAAAACTGCAAAGTGGGTTGAAAGTGCACCTGTGAGGACAGAGCGTAATCTCTTTAATGTGACTGGTCGCCAGGAACCATGTGAGAGCTTTTCAACTGCCAACATGTTTTTGTTTGATTGTTCTCTTCTGGGACCTGAAATAGAATCATGTTTACGTCTGGACTTTTATATCTCACCCATTCTTGAAGTGGATGACGTGGGCTCTCTGCAGGCCTGTCTCTAGGAAGTAGCCCAGCTCCAGATCCTGAGATGTTGGTCCTGGCTTTGGGCTGCGGTTCTGAATGCCTGCTGATAAGGCCTACAGAAATAGGCACACAACAGAATGGGAGAGAAATGCTAAATAAAAAAACAAAATAGTAACTAACAAACAGGGTCTTTCTTTAGCTTCACGTCTTTGCTGTGCTTCCTTAAGTTATGTGATTCTGTGTTAAGGACTGATATGCTTGTCAGCAGGCCATTAAGAGAAGACGCAAATATGTCAAATTTGATCACAATTATGTTCATCACATTCCCACAAGAATGGCACAGCATCTTCTCCTCTTGGATAAACTTTTGACTGTTCCTGTTGTAGTCTTCCCCTCGAGCACAAACCTTCTCAGCTTCCTGGAGGTAGAGCAAAGCAATGTCTCCGGACTTTTCATAGCAGGTGATGATTTCCTGCTCCCGCTCTGCTGGGCTCCGATTGGTCGATGGAGAGTTCTTGTTCGAGAGAGTAGGAGAGGAAGATGGGACCTTCTCTAAACACAAGCCTGGGAGAAATCAGAGAAACAGCAGCAAAGGTGAGGCGTACAGGCATAGATATGAATCCAGTTGGGTTACAGAGATACTTTGCTGCACCCTTGTGGAAATAAAAGGAACTGCAACAGAGATTAGCCCGGATGGGATTTGGGATGTGTAAAGGGGGTGTGTTAAGAAGGTCATTAAATACAAATGCCTGAGTGTGTCTTTGTTTACCTTTGGTAGCGTAGGCCTCAGCTATCATGGACAGCCTGTACACAGGAGCTCCAACCAGCTGCATGTCATCCAGGTTCACCCGGCTGTAATGACCTGGAGAAACAACGTATCGAGATTCAACTCCAGTAATGTGGAAGCCTATTAAATCACAAGCTTCGGCTCTTCCAAGGGGCCATAGGGGGGCATTTCTGGGCATTATTAGACTCTGGGGATTTTTCAGGTCTGAATAAAATCGGGTGTCAATGAATGACCGTTTCCAGACTCTATTCTCAATGCCCTTTGCTAAGCAGGAGTTTTCTTCATATATCTGTCATACAAACCTTCACTTAATCCATTTGTTCCTCATAGTGTTTCCATTCTCCACCCACCAAGCAACTAAAAATCTGGAATTTGTTCTATTCTCCATCCATCTATCATTTTCTCATCATTTACCCATTCGTAAAAAAAAAAAAAAAAGAAATAAAAAAAGAAACAAAAAAAACAATCCAGCTCGTGAACCATAGACCACCCCATTCATCTGCTTTTGGATTATCTAGCTTTTTTAAATATTACTCAGTCTTCATTACATCCATTTTACCCTCCATCTATTCCGTGTTGATAAAAACTAGTATCGTCTTTGCAATCTCTACAATTACATCTTTTTCTAATTTTTGCAAAGCCCTAGTTCCATATTTAAAACCTGATCTATCTAAAGCAAAATATCTACCATCTATTTACGGTGATCTTTGATTTGATCTTTGACGAAAATGTATTCTGCAAATGTGCGGCCTTTTGACTGATGCTTTTTTCAGGGGCACAAATATAAGGGATACTGAAAAGGTTAAAAAACAAGGAAAATGAAATGAACCAGGACCTGAGATCAAGTACATAGGTAAATCATCAGCAAGTAAAAAAAAATGATTAACAGAGTCCAGAGGTGTTTAAAGTAATAAAACCAGGAAATGAAAAATAAACCAAAAGGTTACCTAAAGCATCTTTGTATTCCCCCTCTATGTAACAGATTTTGGCCATCAAAAGACTGGCTTCCTGCAAGTAATCAGCCTGGAATAAAAAATACAGATTAAAAAGAGTTTAAAACAAGCAAAAAAGTCAGATAGTCTTTAATGTATCTGTCATTCTCTTCAGGGTTTACCTTGAGGTTTCCTCGGTCTAGAGCAGCAGTAAGGTGCTTCCTCACCTCCACCAGTTTGGGTCGTGGACCCCGGGGGCTGGAGCCCTGTTTGATGGGATTTTCCTTCAAGTAAGTCTGGAGCTTAGATTCTCCCAACAGCAACTCACCTAAATCATCTAAAAAACAAACAGCATTTTAAGAGCCGAGGAAACTTATGCTGATTTTAAAGCCGAGATTTTATTTGAGTGTAGAGAGACAGAGCATAGTGTTAGCACCAGATAGAACACTAGAAGATTTTTTTATTTTTTATAAATATACCCCATCAGAGGCTAGTCCTTTTGCATAAATGTCAGAGGATAAAAGAGTAACAGAGAGGCACACACATACCAAGAAGAATTAGGTGATCCGAGTCCCTGACCAGAGCTCAAAAATCCAGAGGATCAAGTTTCATTTCATAACAGAAGGATTATTCAAGAAAAAAACATTTCAAAATTACCAAAAAAGGACTTGATGCTTATCAAAAGAGCTTGGTCATAGTCGATCATATCCAAGATTGTAAAGATGAGAATATAAACAAATTGTACTCCACAGATAACTTGCACAGAAGGATGGATATCTGTGAGCAGAGACTGTGCTCTTTCATTTTCCTGCCATCTTTAATCAAAGAGGCTTACAAACATATATATAGCAGTGGTTGAAGGTTTGCAAGCACTTTAACTGGAAAGTATGTCATAATATCATTGACTTTCTTTGATTTTCTTAAAACTCTTCTCTTCCCATGATTGTCCAACAAACTACAACGAATTCTAAAAGCAAGACTTCAAGCAAGTTGGAATCTACAGTTGATTTACCCTAAGCCTCACAGAGTCAAAATAAAATGTACTGCTTAAATTACACATATAGATGAAAATGGTGACATTTAAATTGTAAAGCTTAAATTTGCAGCTTATTGGAAGTGCAGGATGCTGCCACCACCATGCTTTATATGATGGGTTCGTAGGTTCTAAAGACTCACTTTCAAGCATCCTTCTAAATGACTGAAGCATAACAGTGCTGCCTTTTTTTTATCTGAGAGATACAAGTTTATATACAACTGTATCAACATTTATTTAAAAAGAAAAAAAAAGAGTACCAAAATGCTTAACCAATGAATATAAATCTGTACTTTCTTTAGCTCCATACTATAAGACTATAACAATCACTGTTCCCAACAACCTAAATAAGTTGTTACATTCATGCTGATTTTGCACAGTTTCTACCTTATTCAGTTAAATAACATGCTGCTGTCATTTTGCACATCTCAGATTTTGCAAGTATTATCAAATATCCATTACTACAAAAATGTCCATAGCTGTATCTATATTGTTAAAACACTATTTTATTTTAACTTTTCACTATTATGTTTCTAAGGTCCTCCTTTGTGTGACCATTTTTTCCTATAATCTTTTTGCTGCTGTAAGCAGAATTCCCCCAATAAAGGGATTCTCTATTCTAATCTATTTTATATATATATATATATATATATACACTATATTGCCAAAAGTATTTGCTCACCTGCCTTGACTCACATATGAGCTTAAGTGACATCCCGTTCCTAATCCATAGGGTTCAATATGACATCGGTCCACCCTTTGCAGCTAGAACAGCTTCAACTCTTCTGGGAAGGCTGTCCACAAGGTTTAGGAGTGTGTTTATGGGAATTTTTGACCATTCTTCCAGAAGCGCATTTGTGAGGTTGCACACTGATGTTGGACGAGAAGGCCTGGCTCTCAGTCTCCGCTCTAATTCATCCCAAAGGTGTTCTATCGGGTTGAGGTCAGGACTCTGTGCAGGCCAGTCAAGTTCATCCACACCAGACTCTGTCATCCATGTCTTTATGGACCTTGCTTTGTGCACTGGTGCACAGTCATGTTGGAAGAGGAAGGGGCCAGCTCCAAACTGTTCCCACAAAGTTGGGAGCATGGAATTGTCCAAAATGTCTTGGTATGCTGAAGCATTCAGAGTTCCTTTCACTGGAACTAAGGGGCCAAGCCCAGCTCCTGAAAAACAACCCCACACCATAATCCCCCCTCCACCAAACTTTACACTTGGCACAATGCAGTCAGACAAGTACCGTTCTCCTGGCAACCGCCAAACCCAGACCCGTCCATCAGATTGCCAGATGGAGAAGCGCGATTCGTCACTCCAGAGAACGCGTCTCCACTGCTCTAGAGTCCAGTGGCGGCGTGCTTTACACCACCGCATCCGACGCTTTGCATTGCACTTGGTGATGTATGGCTTGGATGCAGCTGCTCGACCATGGAAACCCATTCCATGAAGCTCTCTGCGCACTGTTCTTGAGCTAATCTGAAGGCCACATTAAGTTTGGAGGTCTGTAGTGATTGACTCTGCAGAAAGTTGGCGACCTCTTCGCACTATGCGCGTCAGCATCCGCTGACCCCGCTCCGTCAGTTTACGTGGCCTACCACTTCGTGGCTGAGTTGCTGTCGTTCCCAAACACTTCCATTTTCTTATAATACAGCTGACAGTTGACTGTGGAATATTTAGGAGCGAGGAAATTTCACGACTGGATTTGTTGCACAGGTGGCATCCTATCACAGTTCCACGCTGGAATTCACTGAGCTCCTGAGAGCGACCCATTCTTTCACAAATGTTTGTAAAAACAGTCTGCATGCCTAGGTGCTTGAATTTATACACCTGTGGCCATGGAAGTGATTGGAACACCTGATTCCAATAATTTGGATGGGTGAGCAAATACTTTTGGCAATATAGTGTATATATATATATATATATATATATATATATATATTTTTTTTTTTTTATTAATTTTTTTTTTTTAATGGAAATTAGAAAGCCTAATTATTTCACATTTTTATGTCCCTACACAATTATTTAGGTGAACAATCTATGATCCACACTAACCTAGAAAAATAAGTATTTAAAAAAGAAACCAAAAAGAAAAACAAAACAAAACAGATTCTGAATGGATCGCTTCTATTACCACCATCGGTATCAAAATATTCCCATTACGATACGTCACTATAACTGTTAGCATGAGGATCTGGAGAAAGAAAGTCTAATTTTTGTTTCGGCTAAACCATGTCGGCTTGAAGGGCCGATCTGAAGACACAGACCGAATTAGTAGGTTGATCAAAATACTTCGGCTCCAATTAAACCCAGCAAAAGCAACTGTACAAAGTAAACTCAAACACATTACCATACCTCCTGGCATCCAGAAACAATTTCATGAATTACGAGGGCAAACGAAAATAACAAGATCTAATAATAATAATAATAATAATTTGTCATAACTAATAAGCTTAAATTAAAATATAACCGCAACAAACTAAAGAGAAGCATATTTGTATGGACAGTGGTGACCCAGACCAGGTCATATCTTATAATCCAAGGTGTGGTAGTGTAAAGTGGAAACATTATTTCTAATTGATTATTTTCTATTATATGCTCTCAGCAAAGCACAGTGCTAACACCTCTGTGTCATGTTGCTGTCAGGAAGTAGGAAAGACCCAGGCCGGGGTAAGAGAGGCCTGATGAATAATGCTACAGCTGCTGGATCAGCTTCCTACCGTTGGATATAAGTTTCGCCGACAGCTGCCGAACCAGCTCCGGAATCTTGTCCCACTGGCTCTCCGAGCGGCACCGCTCTATCTCTGACTCCAGTCGTGAGCCAGACTTCCTCGCCGTCATGTTTCGTGACCAAGGGGGGACTGGACTCGACCAGAACCACCACAACAGGCTCCCCTCTCTCTCCCCCCGGTTAAAATAACCGTCAAGCTCACACCTAAAACACAACAAGCGCACTTCCGGGGTAGGGAAATGTGAGGGTAAAGCAGTGACATCTAGCGGTGAAAATGTATATATATAAATATATATAAATAAATAAATATATATATATATATAAATATATATTTTCAAAGGCCTGAAACAACGCTTTAAAAAGTTGGTAAATCCTTTCTACCTCAGTTAAATAACATACTGCTGTCATTTTGAACATTTTGCTGTTATTTCTTTGAAAAATATCACAGTATTTATATTGTTAAAACGCTTTACAGTACAGTATTTTATTAAATTTATTTTTTTTAACTCTTCACTTTTATGTTATTCTTATAGTTTTCTCTAAGGTTCACATTTGTTTCACCATTTTTTTCTATGACCTTTTTGCTGCTGTAAACACCAGAATTTCCCCACTGTGGGGCAATAAAGAGATTTTCTATTCTATTCTATTCTATTAATCGTTTTAATCATGACTGATCGCTTATTGAAATAATTATCAACTCATTTAGTAATCGATTAATCATTAACTGAAGTATAGAGATTCTAAAACATGCCTTTAGCTGATAGAAAAACCCACTTAGAACAGTAACCTATATATATATATAGGTTACTAGGTTATATATATATATATATATATATATATATATATATATATATATATATATATATATATATATATATATATATATATATATATATATAGGTTATATATATATATATATATATATATATATATATATATATATATATATATATATATATATATATATATATATATATATATATATATATATATATATATATATATATATATAGCTTTATCAAATATGCGACCAAAAATAGATGTGAAAATCCAATCAAACTCTTCTTTCATTATGTTTTTTAAACATAATTTTGTTTACAGTTACACTTATTTAGGTTCATTTAATATGTATTTAAATTCATATTTCATCAAATGTTTTAAATATTTGTTTAATCATAGGAAACCATGAATTCTTTTTCCAGTCGCTCCATATCATTGTATTATTTTGAAAGACCGGAAGAAGCTCCAACGTCTGTAGTATTTGGTTAGAGGGACTGAATCTGATGGCAGACTTGTCCCTTTTTTGACTAATGTTAACGATTTACTGGGATAAAACATGGAATCAGAGGGGGTGAGTGTATATATATATATAAAAAAACATACTTTAAAACGTCTTTAAAATAATGAGTTAATTCTGTTGATTGTTGGTTGCACTTCCTTAGCCGTGAAGCTAACGGCTAACAAAACTCTCTATATATATATACACTTGATTATGATTTCTCGCTGTGGCTCTTATAATATTTTTTATTTATTTAGCAGCCTTCAGGAGGATCTAAAGAGTTTGAGACCGTGGAGATTGCGGAATGCAGTGCGGGGAAGGTGAAGGTTCCCCGGAGGATCATTCACTTCGCCAACGGGGACACCATGGAGGAGTACAGCACGGACGAAGAGGAGGAAGAAGAGAAACATGTGAAACAGGAGGTCGTTGCTGTGGATTCGGTAGGATCGATGGACCTCAAATGTTCTTTATTTTTTATTTTAAGTGATCATGACACAGACCTTCTTATTTATATATATATATATATATATATATATATATATATATATATATATATATATATATATATATATATATATATATATATGTGTGTGTGTGTATTTGTGTGTATATGTTATTTATTTATTTATTTAATAATTAATAAATTAATTAATTACCTTGGCTGCCCTGTCCAGAGGCATAGCCAAAACATTTTTATAAGGGTGGCCAGGGGGGTGGCTGAAAGTAGATAAGCACCAAAACGTCACGGTCAATCTTCACTGTTCCAACTGGAAAATTAAGGAGCAAAACATCCATATTTTTTAATAAAGACAAACTATACTTTCCCACAGCCTTTTCTAACAAATAGACACAAAATGGATACAATTCTTGTAGGTCTGAGTTCTGGGACGAACATCTTTTCCATTGTCATTGCTTACCTCATTTTATCAGTAATCATTCTGCTTAAAATTGATATTTAATAGTACTAATATCTACATAAATTGATTATTTAATATGTTTTTATTAAAACTGTTATTTATCATTGATATCACTGAAGACACCTAAGTGAGGCAGAGACATTTTCTCTTTAGCCCATAACACAAAATCTTTTTCTGAAAAGCAGGGATTCTGTACTCATCATCTTTAATGTTGGTATATTGATGTGCATAATTAACCAGTGTTTTTGTTGTAAAGTAATTGTTAATATTGTTGCCAATATCTAAATTAGAGGGAAAGAAATCGTAGGGGTGGCCACAGAGGTTGCCAATGATTGACTAAGGGTGACCCCTGGCCCCCCATCTAGCTCCGCCCCTGCCTGTCACTAGCATAGCGGGGGCTGGCGCAAATCATGGCAGCGGCACCTAGCTACGGCATGTGGGGATGCTCCCACTACAGATGCCTCAGCTCGGTGCCGCTGCCATGATTTGCTCTTACTGTCTCTTCACTAGGGATCACTAAATCAGATTATAAACAGGCTCCAAAGCTGCTTTTAGTTTTGTTTTTTGTTTTTTTATACTGCTATGCATCCTGTAAGGAGAGCATGCTGTCAGTACTTTAGCTTCCTCTAAGAAGTCTATCAATTTTCAAACAATTGCATTCAAGCAATTGCATTTTCTATATAGTTTCTATATCAATATACTATGAAGCTGGTCAGCAGGAGAAAACATGTCTACCTACTCTTTACATCTCTTTAAATCTCAAAGTGGAACTCCAAACTTTGATTTTGTGATCAAAGTTTCTGGATCAAAGTTTATGATTGCTTAATAGAGGAGGGGAATGTCGGCCTAGTGGTAAGAGCAGTGCATTGAGGTCTGAGAAGGTTGTAAGTACCCGGTTCAAACTCCACTGCCTCCCCTCTGGGTCCCTGAGCAAGACCCTTAACTCCACACTGCGCCCTGGGTGCCACACAATAGCAGCCCACTGCTCCCCAAGGGGATGGGTTAAATGCAGAGGTAAATTTCTCCAATGTGAGATCAATAAAGTTCAATTATTGTTAATTATTTTTAACTCTTCATTAGTTCCAAATTAAAAGAAAAATGTAATTTTATCTAAAATCGAAAAAGTAATTTAGGACCACTCAGTAACTAAGTAACAATTCACAGTCTTCCATACTATCATAAGCCCTTAACCTGACAATAATTTACTTATTAATAAAATAAGGAATAAGTATTTTATAGGCAGGTTGCACCTGTTTGGATGTTTTCTAGATTTTCAGAATGTGTTTCTCTTTATAAAAGAATTATGCTGATGTTAAAGACCTATTTTGTTTGTGCCCTTGTATATTTGTTTCAGTCCAAACTGACCTGGGGTCCTTATTTCTGGTTCCATATGTGGAGGATGGCAACCTCCACTATCTCAGGTAGGGTCCTATTTAATCACTATGGCTCACAATTGTTTCTTTGTAAAATGAGTGATAATTGATTAGGTTCTCTGTCTCAGTGTGTGACTATATGGGGGAGAAACTAGCCTCTTTGTTCGGGATCACCACTCCTAAGTACCAGTATGCTATTGATGAGTACTACCGCATAAAGAAAGAGGTACGGTCCCTCGAATGCACATGTCAGCTACATCAGAGGAACATCACATCTTCGAAATGTAACACATTTTTCTGTTTTGTTTTTTTTCTGCAGGAGGAGGAGGAAGAAGAGGAGAACCGTCTCGCTGATGAGGCTGAGCGCTCGTTCGCAGCACAGCGGAGAGGCGAGAATGAAAATCCTGCCGCAGTGAAGGAGCAGCCAGAAGGGTCCGGAGCCTCCTTTGTAAATGTCAGCTTTGAGCTCGAACCCGAGTCTTCTCTCAGGAATCCTGATCCAAACAGAGTCCCATCACCTCTCCCTTCCTGAAAAAAAAAAAAAAAGTTAATGAAACCAGAACTCCCTCAGCTGCACACACTAATTTTTTTTTCTAAATTTTTTATGTTTATAACAGATTTATTTATTCATAATAGCTGAAGTGGCTGAATAAGCGGCACCAGTGAATGTAACACAAGAGTGCTACATGTAATCTAGCTCTGGGCTGAGACCGAAGTAAAATGTTGGTTGTTGCTTTTTGCATCGACCTCAGTTCTTTCCCATCAGTTATAAAAAGATGAAGCATCTTTTTCTTGTTTCCCAGAAACGGTTGGTTTGAATCCTACTTAATAAAACAAAGGGAGTTAAAAAAAACAGCATCAGGCATAATTTCTGCCGAAGTATCCACAGATGAACATTTCCTTCTATTATACTTTACAATACACATAAAGCCTTAAAAGATGTTCCCAACCAGCTGGTTGCTTTGATTTAACAGATGTGCAGGTAAATAGCAGTTTTAGTTTTGTATTTCAACCTTTCTAGCGTGCAAAAAGAACCCGGACTGCTGAATGTAAAGGGAATTTAAGGCAAACAAAAATTTCAAAGAGATGTTTGAGAAATCTGTAGGTACAAACACATCTTTAACTGTGAATTGAACGTCCAATGAACACCAATTTATTTGTTTCGTGTGAGTGTTCTAGAAGGGTATTAAAGGGTCACAACTAATCGAAGTGCTTTCATTTTGTATTATACTGTATTTTTATTTAAATCCATTGAGAATTTATTAGTATTTGATTTCACTCCGAAGATATTGATGTGTTACTTGTTTTTTTTTTTACTTTAATGAGCCAATGAGAGTGCTTTGGGTGTCTTAAGCTTATTATTGTTATCCATTGATATCACTACATTGACTGGCTTCAGATCCTCAGGAGGGTTAACTCGACTTACCGTATGTGTTGTCAGAAACAATAATGAAATGATCTTCAGCTTTATGTAAAGATAAAATCCTTTTAATAAACAACTTGATGTCTTTTTGTGTGAAGAGATTGAAACTATGCAATAGATTTGCTTATTTTGACGAGAATCTGTTGCCTGAATTTGTATTTATGTTTTCAGTTTTAATACATTTCTAGTAACAAACAAGGGTGTTTTGTTTTATTCATGTTGACATGATTTAGTAGGATAAAATAATTGTGACAATCTAGTGTTTCGTATCATTTATTCAGACCGTTCTTTCATTGTAAACAAACCTTGACTCGGGAGGGCAAATTACATATTTTTGTGAATGTTGACCATTGTCAAAACTAGAAATACAGGTGTAAATAAATACACCTCCCCAGATACTTGTATAGATGCCCCTTTAGAAGTTGCACCCTGACCACATTTTGCAGCCCTTTAATGGTTTAATTCTGGCTGCATAATTCCAGTGTTTATTGAGCCAGATCACTTCCAGGCACAAAAAAACAACTAAACGGTAAGGAACATTTGCAGTCAGGTTCAACACTGGGATCTGTCTTTGATTTGAAAACAAATGTTTCAGCAATCTCCACTGATTTGTTGCAAGTTCGGAGAATTCCCATCATTCTGCCTTGGTAGTGCAATACACTAGTAATGCTGGCAGTGGAAAAGGCATCATGTTCCCAGCACCGTGGTGGAAAGCAGGTTTAAAGTTCTTTGGGTTATAAATCTTTAATTTGCACCTTCACAAAAATGCTCACCATCCTCTACATGATTTGCTAAACGCAACCAGAGAATTAGCTAATCTCCAGACATAATATAAACATCATATAACTACTCGTTGAAGTTGAAACCAAACATCAGAATGAGGGAAAATGGGTTAAGTGACACTAAATGTTGATTGTCAGTTTAGAAAATTACTGACTTGCTGGATTTTATTAATAATAACCTTTAAGGTTTACAAAAAAACAATTGATGCACCATATAGAAGCCTTATCACCAATGGTTGGTCCAATAAGTAAACATGGGGTGATATTAACAACCAATGACTACTTTTATCTTAAATTCTACTTCAGGTGCTGTTTTTTTTTCAGGAGAAGGGAAGTGGACCGGTCATTGGACAGTGTGATGTAAACAGTGGCCGTTCAACTGAAGCACGTCAGTAATGTCAGCACTCTGTGGGCAGATTCTTACAGTGTCCACAATGAAAAACAATATCAAATGTAACATTAAAGTATTTATCATCAGTTAATTTTGGTTTTCGACCAAAAGTGCAACATTAATATTGGTCTAGATGTTCATTTATCAGTGCATCCCTACAGAAAATGCAGAGTGAATTTCGTTGTTCTGTACTTGTGACAGTGTAATGACAATAAAAACATGGGAAAAAACAAACAAAAAAACAACTTAAGCTTCTTTGAAGCCATCTCTAAGCACATATCAAGAAATCAAACCTGAAGCAGATAGGCTGCTGAAGCAACCACACTAAACATGTCTAACAGTAGAAAACTAGGATTACAATTCACACTGACTCAAAAATTAGACAATAAGATTTAAAATGCATCATCTGATAGTCTTGATTTTTAGCTGTAGTAAACAACATAAGAAGTTATATATGTACTCTGCTATAAATCAAATGTTTTATACGCTGTGTTTATGCTAAACAAATAACAATTGAGCATTGCTTGAATTAAACAGTCCTGATTACAGATCTGATGGTGACTTCCAGCAGGATGAAACTCCACTAAGTGTGACTTAAATGACAGTAGATTCACATTGTATGCAGCATACAGCTCTCCAGCAACGAGTGAGGCCATCATGAAAATATGAGCCAAAATAATAGAGGAATCTTTCCCATATAAAGTGTTTGATGAGATTGTTAAAAGTTTAAAATAAATCTGACATTAATATGTTTGATGAGTGAAGAGAAATGTCTGACTTGATCAATACTTTGTTTACAACTGAGCTTAAAAGAAAAAAATCATAAACAAGCAAACCAGCAGGTAATGTTTCTGCAGTGTAAATGAAAAATCTTTATTTTAGATGAAGGTAGCAAACATCACTATAGTGTCTACAAGTTAGATTTGAGTCCAAGTCATACTTTCTATATACAATCACTTTTTAAATCGAGCCACTCCCGTCCTCCTGTTCTCAGATGCATCAGGATCTTCTTCAAGTGTCTTCAAAGTCCGCCGTATTGCTGCTGCTGTCGTCGTTGGTGACCAGCATCTCTCTGTTCTCGTAGGTCCAGAACCCGTTGAGGTCGATCAGGATGCTGACCACTGTGTCTCCCTGGCAGCTATTCACCAAATCCTGGAGGGTGATCTTGTATGGATCTTTGGGCTTCACCATGTCAAAGATTTCATCCTGTTTAAAGCAGCGTTTGAAAGAGGAAATCATATCAAATTTGCTGCAATGGTCATTGTTAAAGCCCCAAAAATATTTCTGTGCTTGCATTACCTTCACATCCTGGAAAGAAACAGGCTCCTGGCTGTGCAGCTTCATCTGCTCCTGAATGGCCTGAGGGAAGAAAAAAAACAAAACAATAAACCAGAAGTAAAAAAACAAGTATCAAGGATTAGAATTTATTTTATTTTTCAAACTTTCTTGTCATGTGTGTCTTACCCTAAAAAAGTAGTTGAGGGAGAAGACGTTGAGATAACCCTGATTCTCCATGTCCAGAAGTTTAAAAATATACTGTAATGCTGCAGGCTCCTTCCGATTTTCCAGAGCCAGCACAAAGTCCAGATAGGTCTTATAGTCCTGGAGACAGAAGAGAAGTGAGTACACAACGTTCAGGCAAATATCGAAGTGAGCTAATCTGGCTGTAGAGCACCGTTCAGAATTAAAAAGGCACAACTGAAGATGCACTGATAAGAACATTTGTGACCGATCCCAGGTTGCTGTAAGGCTTTGATTGGCGTATTTATCTTTTAGACTTTGTGAGTACTTATTCAATGTTATTCTTATTAGTGGTGAAATAACATGGGAAAGAGATAAATCTCAAAAAAAAAACAAAAAAAAAAACAGGGTTTAAGGACTGTCTAAAACAGAGGGACAAGTATGGAGTGCACAATTTACACCATTTGAGTAGCACAGTTAGCACATCCCCTTACAGTACATCCCCTCAGTAAGGAGCTAAAGCTTGATCTTGTTTTATATATAGATATATAGACTGAGAAGATCAATAAATTATTAAAACATTCTATTGTTACACAGTATTTCCAACAGTGCTGGTGTTTCAGGAATCATCTCCATGCCCAATGTTGTACCATTTCTCCGTCGTAGGTGAGACACTCCTGAAACACTCTGTCGAGGAAGACTGAAGTGAGAGTGGCCGTGCCGTAGCGGGACAACTCTTCTTTGCTCAACATGCCATTGTGATCTTTGTCCAGGTTCAGGTACTGGCCTGTTAACATGCACACAAAACAAAAACTAGATTAAACAAAAACAGGATCACCTGAACAAACAGCGACACTAAGACGCTGGAGCCTTTTCTCACCGTAGACTCTGAGAGCGGACGGCGCAGAGAACCAGTTGGACTCCTGGCTTTCTTTAGACAACTCCTCATCTCTCAACTAGCATAGAGGAGAAAAAAAAAAACAGGAACAGAAGACTGAATACCTTCAGGAGGTTATGGTTTAGTATCTTTAATTACATTTTTTAGATACCATTTAGCAATCACAGGGAGACATGAGAAGGAAATAATCATACCTCTAACAAATCATCCAGAAAACTGCAAGCCAAGATATCCTGGATTTTTATTTTCCCTGTTAAAGGAAATATTGCATTTTTCACTACACTGAATTATGCACATGATTAATCTCAATGATGCGATCAAGATGAGAGCTTTAGGCTCATTATATAGTTGTGATTGAATGTTTACATACTCTTCCATTAAAGACAGTAAAGAAAAAAATCAGCTGCCAGTAAAATAAATTGTCAAAAGTAATTCATGAAATGTTCGCTTTGCACCTGGTTGATACGTTCCCTGTTCATGAGAAATGTGCTTTAATTGTTCTGCAACGGTTTGTTTTTTAGAATTATATAAAAATAAAAAAAATCTATATTTTATTTTACTAAATTATGATTTAGTACATTTTCATGTATTATTACTTTCTATAGTTTTGTATTATATGAATTACTAGTGTAAATTTATCATTTTCTTTATTCGGAGGGTATGTAAGCTTTCAAGTACAGCTGCAGATTTCTGCATAAGCACATAGCTGCATTCTCTTAATTCCTAAGTTAAAACAGCAGCAGATCAGAGTCAAGTTTAGACTTACCGGTGCGAAGTGGGTCGAGAAAGAAAAAAAATTTGCGAACAGCTGTGCAGACGTAGAAAGAGTAGAAGGACTTCTCCAGTCCATCTAGCTGGGGCAGAGTGGGGATCAGTTCCAAGATGTAGTTCTCTAGATCCTACACACACAGAGAAACATCAATGCCATTTTTAAAAGAGGAAAATAGCATTTATATTCACCTAAAGTGGAAATAGGACCTACAGACTCTCTGAGGTAGCCTTGTCCAGCAACATCATACAGACTCAGACCTATTCGGGTTTGATGCAACCAAACTAGAAAAAAAAAAAACAGACATGAGCAGCAACCACAAACTAGATGGTAATCGCTTTCATTTAAACCTGAAAACGAAAAAGCAAAAAGGACATCCTAACCTTTCCTCATGACGTAGTTAAAGAACTGCATGATGGATATGCGGCCGTATGGGTCATTGTTAAGCAACTTGGCGTACACTCTTGCTGTAAAAAAATTCCTATAGGAGAAAAAACAAATTAAACATGTAGAATCTGATAATTAGAGTCCTTTAAAATCTGGAATATTTCGACTTAGTAACAAAACTGTTTTCTATATCTTGCAAGCATTTATATCTGACCAATAAGACAACAACTAGATTTACATGTATAAACTAAATTATTATATGACTGTATTTGGGTCAATTATAAAATGAATGAGACCTTGAATAAAATGAACTTAAGTTCAGAAACAAGCTGGGATACTCTATCACACACAAATAGCTTTGGATATCTTTGAACTGTTTCCACGAGTAGAAGACTGGAGAATTGGGTGAAGAGAGTATAAATTACCTTATGGCCTGGGAAATCATTGGGATTTAGCCAGAGTTTTTTTTTTTTTTTTCTAATTTGTAGATAACTCAGATAACTAGTGGCTGACTTGCTAGTTATTTGAGCACATCAAGTGTTAAAGTGACTAAAAGCTGGTCTCACTTCCAGCTTTGATACAAAGAGAAACAGTTTTAAATTCAGCAGACCTACCTGCACTTTGGTCCCGCCTTTTCTCCAACCTGAAGGAAGGCTTCGTAGTTGATCATCGCTTCATCTCCATTTACTGGTGGGACTTGATGTTTATCAAGAAGGAACCACAAATTCTATCAAAGGAAAGAACAAATGAAAAAGAGGACACATAAAAAGAGGACCACAGAAACGAGTGAGTTTTGAGCTAGGATCTAGTATATATTTTTTCAGATCAAAGTGCTATACTCTTCTAAATTAAAATAACCTGAATCCTGACATTTTTGTCTTTTTTTAAAGGAATAAATTCCACAGATAGGCCAGATATTTCAACAGTAGTTAGACAGGATAGATGGGTGTTTGTACAGATCAATAGATAGATGGATGGAAAGAATGATGTAATGGATGATTGACCTGCAGTTCTTCATTATCTAGCAGCTCTCTGCTTTTCCTCTGCAGGAAGACAGCCCTGGATTCTTCTCTCAGTTTCTGTAGGAGAACTTCATCTTCTGCTGGAAGCTTCACAACATAATCACTAATCAAAATCTTTTTTATGACCATTGCCAATACTTCAAGTCTAACCTATGTTGTTGTTGTTTTCATTTTGAATGAGTTACCTTGTAATAGAACCGTGGAATAGTCTTGTAGGATTCATCTGTCTCCACTCCGCTTCTCCATTCCGTGTAATATTTGGTAAAAAGTTCAGTTTCTTCTGCTTTCTTTTCCTCTTCGTCCCTCTCGTCTATTTAAGAGAGGATAGGATAAAACAGAAACAAATAATCAAAACCGCTTCAACCTTACTCTTTAAACTTTTTAAGCTTTTAATTTTTCTGACCCTTTTTATGGCCGCCCAGCCTCCTTTTCAGAACATCCGACCAATGCGTCTCTTCCCCTTTAGCCATTCTGGCCGATAAAACTAAACTAAATCCGTTTTTTTTTATTGAAAACAGTAAATGCTACTAGCTAGAGAAATACGCAAATAAAAAACAAAACCGGTTTCAACTGACACTTCCGGTGAAATTCTACTTTCATAATAAAAGTGGGACATCTGTGAAGTCCATTAAAAGGTTTATATTAACACGTTGTAGATTCGTAAATAATTATAAATAAGTTAATAAAATGTTTATTGATTATTTTTTGTACTTATTTCGTAATAAATACTATTTTCTTGCATCGTTGCTGTTATTTTGAAAATACCCCCAAAGTGTGGTTTGTGTTCAATCTAATTTTTAAGGAATTTCCAGCTTCTTATTCAGAAAAATGTTGACACTTTCAACTGTTCCACACATTTTAGACATCTGACTCTCTAGTTTATACTTCTCAACAAATAAAACGTTTCAGAGTTAACATTTATAATTTTCAAGAGATATTCCTTGAACAAATTCTTGAAGTTGATTGAACGAAATCTTTTTCCGAGGTACCTTGAATGCAGCATTAGAAGCCCGTCTTTTCTTGATGACCTCAACATTATGCGTCCTGGAAATCATGCCTTTAGTTGAGCACAGCTTGAACTGTTTCAACTTTTGGACATTTTTTCTTTGTTGTGAGTTATATTTATAAATAAATAGTTATTTCTAAACATCTTTGACTCTAGTTTAAGCTGTCCACGGTATTTGTAAGCCGTGAAGTCGGTTTGCAACAGGCAGGCTATTTTGCTAAGCAATGATCCCTACAGAATGCACAATTCTTGTGTAGAAAATACTTGTATACTAATAGGCTCATTATATAGTACAAATACTAATATTTGTCAAAGACTTTTGTCGCTTCAGGTACATGGGGATATTTTTTAGATTTACACATCCAAACATGGGTTCTGTCTTTTTATTAAAAGTCAGAATCTGTTTCATGTCACCTCAGCTGACTTCAACAGCACGTTTTTTATGCACAAAGGATATTAAACCAAACCTTGGGGGAGAACAAGTGGACAGAAACAGTACTGGACAGACTAGAATAGCAAACAGAAATAATAGGCAGGTCACAGAGAATGGAACAAGTAGTAACTCCAAAAAGCTGTGGCAGAACTCCTTCCCCAAATCTGTTTTTGCCGCCGGGACGGCAAAGAGGACAGCAGAACTGATGAGGCAGAAAGCACCACCAGTCTCTGAGGAAGAGGAGCAACAGGGAGGGGAGGATGGATGCAGGACAGCTACAAGAACAGGTAGGAAGGTCTTCGAATGTGGAGAAGAAATCCAAATACCTACAGTGGGGAAAATCCATTTGAGAGATATATCTTCACAACACAAGAAAGGTTTATCTTTTTATTGAACAAGAGTTTAATGCAAATATCTTTAGCCTGCACCAAACTGGGTGATGTGTATACTGTAAAGTTGTGGAATGACCTAACAATAGCTGTCCATTAGGGCTGCACAAAATATGACAAAAATGCTTTATATCATAGGTAAGCTTCAGGCTCCTGAACGGCCTCTGCCTCCTGCTGAGTGGAAGAAACTGAAGGAATCTTTTGGAAACCCAGAACGTTTTGACATCCGGATGATGAGCACTTTGATTGCTTCTGGATCGGAGCTGAACATCGCAAAGTAAGACAATTTAGTCCTTTTCTCAAACAGAATTATTTTGGTGTTTGTAGTAAACATATTAACAAAGCAAAGTTCTTCTCTCTCTTAGGTCCTTGCTGAGTTTTGTGGCGGTGGAAGTGGGCACGCTGTCCTATGAGCTGCTGCTTCGCTACCTGAAACTGTGTGAGAGCGGTGGCCACGACGATGAGGTGTTTGACGTCTACAGAATCATGCGTGGAAGTTTCCCGTCCCTGGACACAGGGGCCTCAAGCCTTTTTATAAAGTCCTTCAGCCGGACTGCAAGGTGGAAGGAAGCCATAGAGATCCTGCAAGAGGTCAAGAAGGTGAAGAAGTACATGGTTGTTAAGGAGAGTACATGGCACGGATTCTTCCCTAATTGATGTTTAACTCTTATTTTTTAAGGTTTTCACACCGTCACCACGGAATTATGGTGATGTTATTGCGGCATCAGTTCATCACAGGGATGCAACAACTGCCTGGGGTCTGTACGATGAATTAATTGAAAAGGGATTGAGTCCTCATCAGGAGACCTGGGATGTTCTTTTTACTGGGGTGAAGCAGATCGAGGGGGGAAAAGAAATGGCAGTCATGAGTGAGTCAGAGCAGCATGAGAAGCTGCTGGGAATCCTGATGTACATGAGGAACAACCAGATCTATCCTCAGCAGACTGTCGTCAACAGGATAAAGAACTGGTTTGAGAGGTACAGAAAAGCTGCATTGAAGCTCCATTAAAATTTTATCGCAACTTTTCTTCTCTGTTCTCTGTTTTGTGTCTGTTTTTTCAGCCTTAACGATGAGAAATGGACAGCAGACTGGAGCAGTGTTACTCCAAAGTAAAGATAGTATTTACTTGTTTGTGATGTCCTCTACAATTTGTTGAAGGGATATATATATATATATATATATATATATATATATATATATATATATACACTACAGTTGAAAACTTTGGGGTCACATTGAAATTTCCTTATTTTTGAAGGAAAAGCACTGTATTTTTCAATGAAGATAACTTTTAACTAGTCTTAACTTTAAAGAAATACACTCTATACATTGCTAATGTTGTTAATGGCTATTCTAGCTGCAATTGTCTGGTTTTTGATGCAATATCGACATAAGTGTATAGAGGCCCATTTCCAGCAACTATCACTCCAGTGTTCTAATGGTACAATGTGTTTGCTCTTTGGCTCAGAAGGCTAATTGATGATTAGAAAACCATTGTCCAATCATGTTCACACATCTGAAAACAGTTTAGCTCGTTATAGAAGCTACAAAACTGACCTTCCTTTGAGCATATTGAGTTTCTGGAGCATCACACTTGTGGGGTCAATTAAACGCTCAAAATGGCCAGAAAAAGAGAACTTTCATCTGAAACTCGACAGTCTATTCTTGTTCTTAGAAATGAAGGCTATTCCATGCGAGAAATTGCTAAGAAATTGAAGATTTCCTACAACGTTGTGTACTACTCCCTTCAGAGGACAGCACAATCAGGCTACTGCGGGTACTCTTTAATGAAGATGCCAGTTGGGGACCTGTAAGATGTCTGTTTCTCAAACTAGGGACTCTAATGTAATTATCTTCTTGCTCAGTTGTGCAACGTGGCCTCCCACTTCTTTTTCTACTCTGGTTAGAGCCTGTTTGTGCTGTCCTCTGAAAGGAGTAGTACACACCTTTGTAGGAAATCTTCAATTTCTTATCTTTATTGAAAAGTACAGTGCTTTTCCTTCAAAAATAAGGACATTTCAATGTGACCCCAAACTTTTGAATATATATATATATATATATATATATATATATATATATATATATATTTTTTTTTTTATTTCAGGGGTTTGTGCAGTCGTTGTGGGTCAGAACTGGAGTCTATCCAGCTGAGTGCCGAGGAGTATCAGAAACTAAAGGACAGAGTCATGGCTGATATCATTCAGGGGCAAGATGTATTCAACAAGACCACTCCTGAGGTACGCATTAACACAAAAACAGGGTATTTAAATACATAAATAAGTGATGTAATACATTTTTGTGTAACATTACGTTATCAATTTTTTGATTATCTTACAGGGACCTATTTTTTTACCTACCTACAGATTACATACCCTGTAGGCTAAACGATTCTCCCTTCTATGATCTGGAGACAGATCTATGTTCCCCACAGTCTCTGATTGTTTCATTAAGGTTTAATTAATACTCTACAGATTTTTAATGGTATTGTTTGGTCTGGGCAAATAATTGGATTTGCAATATAACTGCAATTTAACAAAATAGCAGAGACGCTCAGTTTTGGTCAATTTACATTTGACAAGACTAAGAGACTATTTTTTTCTCGACAACAGCCTCTATTTATGTTTCAAGTAAGTTTCGTATCATAAAAAAGGAAAGAGAAACTTCCAGCTGTGCGCAGGTCTATGCTTGCAAGTAGAAGTAAGCTGTCAGATGTCTCATGCGTCTGCTAGAGGGCATCATTGACACACAGATACAACAGACAGTTTAACACCTGAAGTTGGCATTTACCTCTTTAGCTCTTTTTCTGTGCTGGGTTTCACTTTCATATTTGGCTCAAGGTACCGAAGAAAAAAAGCTCCATTGCTGGACCCAACCTCAAAGCTTTAGGTTTAAAACAGCTTTTTTTTATATAAATGTAAAAAGAACAGATTCTATGCGTATGATGGAAATGCTTGAAGATGTATATAGTGAGTAGCCATGAATAACAGTTAAATTGATTAAACTGATATACACCACATTTTATCCTATGTTGCATAAAATAAACCTGAGAGGTTAGACAGCAGGAGGTCGCTGAATTTGGCTAGTTTTTTTTATGATTGAGGCATACATGGGCTTTTTACGATGTTGTTTTACTCTGTAAAATTGGAAAAGGAAAAAAAAAACAGCTTTTTATTTTGAGGATTAAGCGTGATGGAACTGGCAGCAAAAAACATTTCCCTGGAAGTACAGGACATAATTTTTATATCAGTGTTATAAATCAAATATATATCCTTTATCAGTAGCCTTTTAGATTAGCATGAGGCAAATAATGTTTTTTTTGGTCTTAAGTAACTGTTTGTAATTGGTCGCTTCTAACTTTAAAACCTCAGCATTTTGCAAAAGTTAAAATCCGGTCTTTAAAGGACATTTTAAACATTTTAAGTGAGGGTTTACCCAATAGTTTCTATAATCTTTTTGCTGCTGTAAACACCAGAATTTCCCCATCGTGGGACATTAAAGGTATTTTTTTATTATTGCCTAGTTAGGATTCAGGACAGCTGAAGATTTATACAAAAAAAAATCTGCATAACATTATTTTCTTTAATAATTATTTAATTTAGAACTAGCATTATAGATGAAGGTAAAAAAGAGGATGTTCCTTAAAAACTCCTGGTTTAACCATAAAACTGGATTTAAAAATTGTATTATTTTCTATTTTTTTAAAATGTCAAAGGTTTAGTAAAAAAAAACAAATGTATATTGTTCTAAG